CAACAAGTGCAATTATATAAACCATTTAAAGATTCTCGTAAAAGTATCGAACTGTCTTTGATTAAACGACTGCAGACAGCATATCTCCTGGGTCTAAATGACAATATACTGGGACTAGGGAACATATCTAAAACTTCTTCTGATGATATCATGAATATTGTTGTTAAAAAAACAACGTAATAATATATATCATGGCAAACGTATCAATCGAAATCAACGAATTTAACATCGTATAAATTATACACTTGATGATCTATATTTAAAAACACTGGTAGGCATCAATTATTATGTAAATTGGGTCAAATACCAATTAGTATATGACATGATATTTTCAAGGAGTGTGACACAATCTCGTTATTTAGCCAACTCTATGAATGTTCGCGTATAATTACAGCTTTTTGCCACCAAAGGCTGTTCCCGCGTATCGATAAACCTGAAGATCATGTACGGCACTTTCTGAAAATTAAATATATTAACAGATAAATTGATTTCATGAACTTATCGAGTATATTTAATGACTCTACCATTTAAAACCTTATATCTCCCTATTTTGATAACACAAACCCACCTATTACTTCGTATACATACAAAAACCCAGCAGAAGTTAAATTTTTAATTATACGTCAGTTCCATCAGATATCGATGTTGATAATAATATTCTTCTAACTTGAGACTGTGAATCGTCGAATTTTAGATATGATCCCTATGGCCATGTTATTACGGGGGACCTCAATATCATTCAAGACCGAGAGGTAAAAAACTTTTTGAAAACGTACCAAAATATTGTCCTCCATCTAAAATAGATTGGAAACAATGTCGTCAGGTCACAAAAGACGCTCTTTCATCGTATTGTAAAAATTGGTGTAATCGGGAAAAATCTGATAAAAAATCTCTTGATTCTTATTTAAATAAATGTATGCATATCATGGATATTCGAATATCACATTTTGAAAATAATTTAGAAATAAATAATAGAGTACATTATCGGTACAAGGACATCATTCGAAAATATAAATCAACATGCAGACATCTTATACGTTCGGATATTTCACATCCAATATTTTATGGTAATATTCTTTACAAAGCACAAAAATGTCGGCATTCATCTCAAAAGCTAACCAAACCTTTAAACAGACTTATTCGGAAAGGATATAGTTACGATACTGTTGTAAAGTTATTAAGGATTGCATATTTTGGTATTGATATTGATTAACTCATAGGGTCTTTACATCGGAAATAAACACATTTATTCTAAAACCAGTTATTGGCATGATAGTGTGTTTTTCTATGTTGTGATGTTATACTATTGTTCCAGAAAAGGGAGAAGGTTTGGTACCATTAAAACGTTTAATCTCGCTGCAAATGTTTGCACCTGTCCTAAGTCAGGAATCTGATTACAGTAGTTGTCGTCTGTTTGTGTAGTTCATACGTGTTTCTCGTTTTTCGTTTTTATATGAATTAGACCGTTGGTTTTTGCCGTTTGAATGGTTTTACACTAGTAATTTTTTGGGGCCCTTTATAGCTTGTTGTTCGATGTGAGCCAATGCTCCGTGTTGAAGGTCGTTCTTTGATCTATAATGGTTGACTTTTATAAATTGTAACTTGGATGAAGAGTTGTCTCATTGGCACTCATACCACATCTTCCTATATCTATGTTCTTCTCATATAATTTATGATGGTATGATACTAAACCCCTTACGGGAGGGATTGTACTTGATTTTCATATGATGAAGACATAATCTTTCTATCAGTTTAATTGAGGTCTGGAGCTGGCATGTCAGTAACTGCTAGTAGTCCTTTGTTCATTTATGTATCATTGTCATTTTACTCAGTTTCTTTTGTTACCCATTCTGACATCGGACTCGGACTTTTTTTGAACTGAGTTCTACTGTGCGTATTGCTATATGTTTCTTTATTTTACATAGGCTAGAGGTATAGGGGAGGGTTGAGATCTCACAAAACATGTTTAATCCCGCCGTATTTTTGCGCCTGCCCAAGTCAGGAGCCCCTGGCCTTTGTTAGTCTTCTATGTTTTTTTTTTTTTTTTTTTTTTTTTTTTTATTTTAGTTCATTTATATGTTTTGAAGTTTAGTGTGATGTCCATTTTCACTGAACTTGTACACAATTTTATTAAGGGGCCAGCTGAGGACCACCTCCGGGTGCGGTTTTTTCTCGCTGCGTTGAAGACCCGTTGGTGGCCTTCGGCTGTTGTCTGCTCTTTGGTCGGGTTGTTGTCTTTTAACATGTTCCCCATTTCCATTCTCAATTTGATAATACGCCTCTTTTTAGATTAAGAAAAATACTCCAAGTACTTTCAAAGCGGTTTGTGTTTGTACCGGTCGACAAAGCAGCCAACAATAGGATGATCGTTTGCCGTAAATACTACACGGACTTTCTTAAGAATGAAATTTTAAATTCTTCTGCATTCAAGTCCGTGCGCTCCACAGAGAGTCATATAGTAAACAAACATATCATAACCACATCACAGCTTAAGGCCTGAAATTTTGAAGGTCCCTACTATGTATTGGTTACCTAAACTAGACAAAAAACCATTAAAATATCGTTTCATCTCGGTCTCTATTAAGTGTTCTACAACTAATCGTTCATTGCTTTCAACTAGTTCCTTAACTTCTATCAAAGAACTTATCATTAACTTTTGTTATAAAATTTATGAAAATAGTGGTATTAACTATTTTTGGAGTGTAAGAAATTTTTTGGATGTTTAAGATAAGTTACGTGCTTTTGATGGTCCTCTTGATTCTGTTGACAGTTTTGATTTTTCAACTTTTTTCACTACACTTCCACACAATCTTATCAAAGAAAAGTTTTCCTCTTTATTTAAATGGTCGTTTGGTAAATCTGAATGCAAATATATTTGCTGCAACTCATTTAAAGCCTTCTCCTCCAATGAGAAAGGTAAATATGCTAGATATACTTACTGGAAGTGTGATGAGATGATTGAAGCTGCTAATTTCCTCTTTGATAATATTTATGAACTTTTCGGCAATAAAATTTATCGGCAGGTTGTAGGTATTCCTATCGTCACCAATTATGCCCGTTTAATTGCAGACTTGTTCTTGTACTGTTATGACCAAACTCGGTAAAGACCGGTCTAAATTGCATTTAATTGATAAATTCAACATCACTTACCGTAATCTTGATAATATTTTTTCGTTGAATAATCAACAATTTTCTAAATATACTGCCGAAATTTAATCAAAGGAACTTACTTTAAAAAATCAAATATAAACGGTAATACATTGAGACTGTCCTTTCCCAGATTTAGATATTTCAGTTTTACACTAAAATTTATGACAAAATGTATTGTTATTTTTCCTCTTTTTGGACGGTGTTGTTCCTTTGGCACCATCTTACGGTTTTTTTTTATCACAACTCGTTCGCTATGCTCGTGTCTGTTGTGACGTTTTGGACTTCAATGAACGTAATCTATGTATTACTGGTAAATTATTAAGTCAGGGATGTCGTTACCACAAATAACTTAAAACCTTTACTAAATTCTTCCATAGAGATATTGACTTGGTTTTTAAGTTTAGTTGTACCTGTAGAAAACTTATTTCAAACGGGATAGCACATCCTCATTTTTACGGAGATGTTGTCTACCGAGCCCTGAAATTAAGAAACGATCCGGCTAAACTTATCGATTCTTTATATAAATTTATTCTTAAAGGTTACCAATTAAACACTAGATCTTTATTTTTAATGGTATTAATATTGATTTTGTTATCAGTAAATTAAAATCAAACTGTATATTATTATTTTTATACACATATGCACATGCATGGCTCTTCAATCTGGCGATACCTGCATCTTGGCATTGCACAAGGTCATGTATCCTCTGAATGTTTATGACGTCTTTACACTAAATCCATTGAATGTTGGATGTGTACTGATTGATATTTTAGTCTTAGATGCATGACTTCTTTTATCAGTTGTTATTGGCTTTGAACTAGCTATCAGTAACTGCGAGTACTCTCAGATCTGTACTTAGTGTATTTTAGTCGTGGGGATGTATAAGTACCCATCAACGTCCTCTCTGTGTTTTTAGTATATGTATTTCTATTTGTATCCATCTGATGAGTTTTTCAACTGATTTTTATAGTTTGTTCTTATGTTGTACTGTTAAACACTGTCCCAGGTTAGGGGAGGGTTGGCACCTTCAAACTAGTTTAACCCCGCCACATTCTGTATGTGCCTGTTTAGATTTGTTTTAGTTATGACACGTATTAGAATATAAAATTGGAATTGAGTTTGTAATGGTGTTATTTTATGTATTTTCTAACCATGACAATAATATTAAAATGGAATTGTGTTTGTAATGGTGTTATTATTTGTATTTTCTAACCATGTCGGTTTTTCTTCAAAATCAAAACTGTGTATAAACAAAAAATCCTGTGCATATAGTTGTTTTAAACTAAAAATCATATAAATGAAATAGCTGATTAATTAACTTTTACATACATATAGAAAATTAATAAAAAAAAACTAGATTTGTCATTGCAAGCAATAGCGGATTTCACCCTTCCCCTATTGCCTCTAAGTGGCAGCCATTTCGAAAATTTTAACCAGTAAATGCACATATATGCATGGGTACATGTCTTTCTGTAAATTTTCAGACCATTTGGAGCATTTAGAAATTTTTGAAATTTTTGACATTTTTGCTGGTTTCCATGGTAACCATGGTAACAGAGACTATTCCCAAAATTTAATGACAGATGCCACATTGGTACATGGGAGGGAACATACCATCACAATTTCAATGGATTTGACCTACCATTTTATTAGGTGGAAGAAAAATGATAATAATACTGAAAAAGAAACAGAGGAAAAGCAATATGTCACCCGACATTGTCGATCGGGTGACATAATAACTGTAATATAAGGCAAAATCATGTAAAACCAAATAGTAAACACACTTGAAAACAAACAACATAAAACAAAAACACTGTAGACGAACCACGAGTAACTATACTCAAATTAACTCGGAGTAGAATGAATTTATCTACTTATTTCCATTCTTGTACATTAATACGCATACCAATTAAAAAATATGCTTGTATTGTCAAAATGGCATTCATTGTTTTGCTAACTTTATTATACTCATTTAAAGATACGATTAGAAAGAAAACAGTTGTGTTCTAATCGTTTGTTATCCATCAGGTCTGACTTCAACCTTTCTTAATGTGAGTTCCAGTTCTTCAAGTTCATTAAACTCTGCTTTATATGTTTGCAATAAAGTTTTGAAACATTCCAATTGCCTTACAGTTTCTGCTTTGAAAGATCCATCCTCTCGTTCTGATCTTTCCAAGCGACACTTTATGTAGCTTATACAAGCTCTTCGTGGAAAAAACTTTACATTGTTTATGTCATCTTTGTTGTTATCGTCTATCTTTGGAAGCAATGCCCGAAAACATTTTTCGGCCTCCAGGATATCACCGATGGCAAAATAAAGGTCTCCGATAGAATATTCAAGACTAGGAAAATTACTTTGGTTGTTTGCTATCATCTTTGTAATATTCTGACCCCATTGTGTGGCCTCTAAACGTATTTCTTCTGTCTGTTCAATTTGAAATAATACTTTATAGCAATTAATGATCATCTTTGCTGACAAGTATTTGGCATGGTCATTTTTGGCTCCTAAAACCTTCAATACTCCAAATTCTACATAGTCAGTTTTTTCATTAAATCTCTTTTTGCAAGTACTAATGATATCTTTTAGAATAACCGCTTTAACTGGATTTTCCTTTCTACCAAAAAAATTCAAAACGGACTGCATTTCGCTTCTCTCAGTCAAGCAGGAAGAAAGGCGGTTAAACTGCATATTCTCATTTTTTTCACATTGTTTCGTTGATTCTTTATTAGGCAGATGATTGTCTTTCAAGTTTGTCATATATGAAAGATTTCGGGCAATTGCCAAGTAAGAGAAGAATATTTTACCTAATGACCAATCAATATCATCTGGCTGATAAAATAACCTTCTTCCAAAAGTGTGACAAACAGAAACAAGTAAGCTAAGCATAAATTCATTTCCTAATCTCTCTTCCGGAACTGCATATCCTTTCATACATAGTTCATTGAACTCTCTTTCCACCAGATGAGTTGTTTTCTCTAATTCAATATGATTTCCTAAAACACCTTTAAGGATTTCCACGTCATCTCTATTTCTATATTTATCCAACACGTAGTCCTTACTAATTGTCTGAAGTGCTAATGTGTGCTCACGAATAAACTCCTCTGTAGCGTGAAAAAGTTCTCTTGATTTTTCTTCAACCAAAGTTTTCAGTTCATACGGATCAGATGTTAGCTTCGTTAAACGAAGCAAATCATTATGAAATTTTTTATCATTTACTCTAAGAAGTTCAAGTAAATCGCTTTTCGCCTCATCGAAATATGAACTGGCCTCATAATACATTTCACTAAAGCTAAATGTATATCCAATTATATCCTTTACATATACAATGTGTACATCATTTTCTAATTGATTATACAGCAAGTCTTGCGTCGGAGATAAATTCTCTTTATCTTTCTCACTAATTTTCATTTTTTTCAAATGTTTTATAACAGCGCACGCATGTGGTAAAAGTAGAGTGTGACGATGAAGATCAGATGGATTATGGTTGTCCTTATCCATCAACATGAAGAGAGCTCTCAATAATTTTCTCAAAATTTTTTCATTTGATGTATGAATAATACCCTGCTTGTCTGTCATGTATATCTGTAAAGCTAACCTAACAACATCATGAGTGTTGATTTGTCGCTCCTCTGCAACTTCTTCCGAAGAATTTCTTTTTTCTATATATATAGTCCCAAATGATGAATTCCTTATTTCATACAACAAATCATTTATAGAAAGCAATGAGACATCGGAATCGAATTTTTCGAAAAGAACTACTGGTATGGTTTCAACTTCAAGAAACTGTAGAGAAAGTAACATTTCAAATATATGTTCTTTGCCCTCTCTTTTATATTTCTCATGCATATTATCAATTAAGCTGACTAATGAATGAAAAAGTGTTTCATCGGTTATTTGCTCCTTAACAGCCATGCTTTCTTCAAACTGAAGTAAATCAGAAGGACAATTTAATTGTTTTACTAGATCTTTCACGGGTAATTTAGTTTGTTCCATGTACGTTCGTGCAATTTGTAGGCCTTTTGGGTTGTAGCTAAACTTCTTAGCAAGTTCTTTATAATGTTTCCTAACATTTTCTTGACATTCCTCTCCATAACTAAGAAACTCTACTGCTTCATCTTCAGAAAACCCTTTAATTTCTAAAACTTCACATTCTTTATCTATATCTAATGATAATGATGTCGTGGCAATAATTTTCACATTTTCTGCTCTTTTACATGTTTTAATAAATTTGCTTACTGTATGTTTGGCTATTTTATTAATGTCATCTAAAAGCAATATATGATGATAGTTAGCTCTTTTCCTTAGCTCTTTTGCTATAAGATCGATTACTATATCTGTTTGGGATTGTTCTTCTTTACGCACCTCAACATCATGAAAATATTTGCACAGTTCACGTAGAGATCTTTCAAACATAGACTCGTCAGTGCACTTTAACTTATGCACAATACCTGTAGGGTCTAGTTTTTTTGCATTGTAACAGTACCGAAGTGCCAGCTCTGATTTACCAGTTCCAATCAAACCTTAAATATTAAATCACATTGAGTATATTGTTCAAAAAATCTTTTATGTATTCTGGACAATTCTTGTGGAATAATTTCCCAATACCGTTAAGAAATATTAGAAATGTTAATTCTTTCAAATACAAAATAACAGATCATTTATTGAAATCAACCTGTTGAAAAAATATTAAAAACTGATTACGTCATCACGTTTATTTTTTCATAACATTTTATCAAGTTGTATTGAACATTATTATCATACTTGACTTTTTAAACTAATGTATGCAATGTATATGTTTGCATTTTGTTTATGATTTTTTTATGATGAGGGCCTCAGGGAAGATTAGTTATATAGCTAACTGTATAACCCTCTTAAAATAAAGTATTGTTGTTGTTGTTGTTGTTAGTATGAAATACCCCTTAGACGTGTAATGTCGATCAATTTGAAGGCTTGTATGTTGCAGATGTATTTTCATAAACATATTTCTAAAGTTTTGATACAAGGAATATAAAACATTTAAGAAAAACCAAAAAAGATTTTGAAAAATCATAGTTTCCTTTCGGGGAAGGAACGATATGTATCGTACACAATGATTTAAGCTTGATACACTCAATATCATCTTTTTACTTGACATTATGGTTTTGTACTCACTTTGAGTTAAGGTCTTCGGTTCGATCCACGGAAGGATCAACCCACACACTTGAAAATTATTGTTTACTACTTTTTCGTTAATGGTACGGCTTTTTGGATAAAAAGCAGGACTGATCGACTTAAATTCCAGAATGTGTTTCCGGGCAGATTGACATGTCTTCCTATAGACTGTGACCTTTTGAAAGAGGCGAAAAAAGGATACCAAAGGGATAGTAAAACTCACAAGTCGAAAACGAAGTTACAAAGTCAAAGCAAAAAACGATCAAAAGACAAACAACAGTCTACAAAAAACAACATATATCTCCCAGTTGATACAATATTACAGGGCTTGTATTTCCTATCATGATTTCCTTGATAGAGGGTTACTGCTCATAAGGAAGCTATTAAACCAAGAGTTTCGATGGTGATGTTGAATTCATCCCCTCGTTAATTTTAAGGACGCCATCATGAGTTGGCTGACCGTTTTGGGGTATATCCGTTTCACGGATGATAGCGGATATGTTCTTATTGTCGTAACTACAATCCCGTCCCCCTTTTCTCCGAATGTGACCTACCGAATTAGACTTATTAAAGGTTTGGTCTAACATGAGCAACATGACGGGTGCCACATGTTGATCAGGATCTGCTTACCCTTCCGGAGCATCTGAGATCACCCCGTTTTTAGTGGGGTTCGTGTTGCTCAGTCTTTAGTTTTTCTTTGTTGTGTTTTGTTGGTCTTATTCTTTTATAGCCATGGCGTTGTCAGTTTATTTTTGATTAATGAATTTGAATGTCCCTTTGGTATCTTGCGCCTCTCGTTGGAATTATTCTACAAACTGAAGTTGATAATTTTTTCAAAGTAATCCAGTACTTTTTGCCCAAAATCACTGTATTTGTGCACACTAAATTAACGAACAAATACTTTAACTGTGACTATAAATTTTTCTGCATCTTTGTAAAATACACAATTCCTATATTGGACTCATTAATGTTTGTATGAAATTGTAAGACATAGTAAATTCGGGGAACTTTTCGACTGAAAGTCTTCGAGAAGTACTTTTAAAAAACAATTAAATAACACGTTTTACTCTAGACAAGAATTAAAACAAATTCGTTTTCAATAATATGAATGTACTGGTGATTATATTTTTGCCATAATTTTGAATAATATATTTCTATAGATGCAAGGGATACTTGTAGCTTTAAAACAATTAACGCCTATCGGTAAATACTTAATGTATTTAAGGCCATAAAATACATAAAATATAAGGTTGGTACAAAAACTAAGAGGGGCAAAAACCAAATGCAATACGCTTTTTGACTACCAAAGGAGTCATATAAAGTAGGTAAATTTGGCCTTTGTGAACACCCATAATATATTCATCTTTAAGAGGTTCTTAAAAATGAATGGCCTACAATTTTTACAAAATAGATGAATACTGTTTAGATCCCTGGCTTCCCTAACAGAAAGGTGTAAAATTGTTCACATCTCATTCCACCATTATAGCATTTGCATCAAACAACAATTCTTTGCTTACAACTCACCTTTTAAAATAACACATTTTTTCGTTCTCATACTATCCTCTAGTTTCTTTAGGTTCGTTTCTGTGTTGATCGGGTTTTCTGTTAAATGCCACTCTTCAATGTTGCTACACCCTGAAACAATTTAATTTCAAAATTAATTTTTGGTATTGTCAGGTTTTAAACCTGAATCAAGCGAATCTTTAAATTACGTATTGCTGTGAATATGTACATCCACAGTTCTTTTCTTAATCAGTATTGTTCGTCTACAAAAGATTCACCAGTGGCACGCAAATGAAAATATTTGGAAGGCCGATTAAATAATAAAGATGAAAAGTTGCAAACCTAAAATTCTAATAGAAAATCTCAAACTAAAAAATTCGTAAGGGTTCCGCGGAACCTAGTGTCTCGCCTACTTTTTCTGTTGTCTATGTTTTCAGTGTGAAAGGGGAATGCATGTTATAGATTTACAGTTAATGAAATAAAACGTTTGAAATGTATGAAAAAAGTTATGCTTGTAAAAAATAAAAACAGCATGCAATCAAATATATAGATTTATAAAAGAGTTGAAACATAAATTTATTGAATGGGGAAAAAATTATTAAAACTTTTCCTCTAGATATTATCTTTTGATTGTAAGAAGCTTCTGTCCAAATTTGGTAAAAATCTAGGATGGTTTATGAATCTAATAAATGTTTTAAAAACTTTTAACTGCTTACTGTATGTAATGTTAACTGGAAGAAAAACTAAGTCCATTTATAAGTAATATACGGAAAAACAGGAAATAAATGTTTACAAAATTTCCTTCTAGATACTAGCTTTTAATCATAAACAAGCTTCTGTCCAAGTTTGGTACAAATCCAGAATAGTTTAAGAAAGTTATTAAAATTTTTAAAACTTTAACCACAGAGTGAATGTAATGTTAACTGGTAGAAAAACTAAGTCCATTTTTAAGTAAAATACGGATAAACAGGATTTTTGTTTACAAAATATACTTCTGAATACTATCTTATGATCATAAACAAGCTTCTGTCCAAGTGTGGTACAAATCCAGGATAGTTTAAGAAAGTTATTAAAATTTCAAAAACTTTAACCACAGAGTGAATATTTGTGGACGACGACGACGACGACGACGGAATGTAGGATCGCTATGTCTCGCTTTTGCGACAAAAGTCGCAGTCTCGACAAAAAACGAATGATACTTGTCGACGGATTTGTATTTGTATGTCCGACACATCGGGTGCCACTTGTTGAGTAGGAACTGTTTGCCCTTCTGGAGCCCTTGCGTTCGTCCCCAGTTTTTGGTTGGGTTCGTGTTGCTCAATCTTTGGTTTCCTATGTGATGTTTTGTAGACTTGTTTGTCTTTTAGATTTTTTTATTCGTTTTTTCGACTTTTGAGTTTTGAATGTACCCTTACACATGTTACAATCTCCCTCTTTTTTAATTCAAGTCGGTTCTTATTAATGAACTTTCTGATATTGTCCTAGCTTTATTTCAATGACTTATGAAAAAATTGATTTGATTTTTTGTTGTGAAGAGTATGACATTTTGATTATTATTGTTAATGTCATAAGTGAGATGCATATTTACAGAAGCAACATGAACAGTTGTGCATAAACAGTGGATTTTACATGTATGGTTTTATATGGATTAATATATAAAAATTCTAATATATGAATCAATATATAAGAGGTGTGTGAGCAGGATTTCTTCTTTTCACTGGTCTCAATATAATAATGGTTGTGTTTAATTGAGTGGAGACATGTGTCTAGCGTCTAAAAAAAGTAGGATTAAAAACAAAAATCAAACAAACAAATTTTTTTTGTAAATGTTACAAATTTGTGTTGATTATTATTTATTTGTGTTATTTAGTAGCGATCCGATTGTTTGTATTTTATACTAATAAATATCTGATATCTGATATTATTATTGATTGCTGGAATGTCAGTGTTGTACGTTTTAACAGAAAACAAAGCTATATTGAGGCGTTGGACATGAATTCGGAGATATTACATACACATGAATTGCATTATATAAATTCTAAAGTAATAAAAATGCATGAAAAATAACGGTTGGGATCGATATGTGTCCACTATTTTTCGAAATCTATTAAAGTGGTCTTTAAGTCGTCTTTAATGTGCTTGAAGCGCGGCACTTTCCACACTAATCACAAACCCTTGAGAATATTACAGGACCTGGTGTTACATATTAAGTACTCTCATTCAAAAGACATCTGAAATATGGTTATTGATCTTTGTGATTTTTCCATTTGATATACTGGTTGTCGTAATAATCCATATAAATTAGATGTGGTATAATTGCAAATGAGACAACTATCCAACGGAGTTCAACTGAAGCGAATTTAAACAACAATAGGCCACGGTACGGCTTTTAACAATAAGCAAAACCAATACCGTATAGTCAGCTATGAAAAGCCCCGACATTACAAAATTTAAAAATTCAAACCTGATTTATTACAAAACAATTGATGAAAAACAATAATGACAGACAGTAACTTACGACAACCACTGAATTAAAGGTTCCTGGCTTAGGACAGGCACATATAGAAACATATTTTTAAAGCGCTCATTCCCTTCATTAACTTGGACACCGGTGTAACGGTACAACATAAGACAAACTGTAAAATTCAAATGGAAATGTCTTGACTCATCAAATCGGTACGAGACACACAACATAATGATAAAAGATAAAAGACACAAAGAACTGATCAAAGAGTACTAGCACTAGCTTTTTAGTCTCTGATGCATGATTTTTTATTATTGATTATTTTTGGCTTTTAACTAATTTTCAGTAACTGCGAATACTCTCAAATCGTACTTTCGTGTTAATTTGACCTGTTGATACAATTTGTAACGTATTTTTGTTATTTTATGTTTACTTATTCAGTGTTATATCTAGTCTCACTATTTGTAATATATACCACCTTTGATAAGTGTTTAGTATGACGATAAATTTTCACTTTTTTTTTCTCGTACTAGGAACAACAAAATCATTTATTTTGTAAAAATTATTTCCGTACTCCATGTATACCTTACAACAAAATTATTTTCATTTACCTGTGTACGTTATTTTATTTGGCGGCGTGTTATCCAAGATTATGGTTGTCTTTTTGATTTTTTTTTACATTTAACCCCCTTGTTTTATCAATTTTGTATTTACATTGTGTCATAGATCAAATTTATTCGTTCAGTGTATGTTCACTTGTTTTTGTTAACATGTCTTTTGATTGAGTTAAGCAATTTCAATTGATATTTTATAGTGTGTCTTTCTATGTTGTGATGTTACACTATTGTTTCAGGTATGGTGAAGGTTGGCGCCTATTAAAACGTTTAAACCCGCTGCATTTGTTTGCACCTGTCCTAAGTCAGAAACCTGATGTTCAGTGGTTGTCGTTTGTTGATGTGGTTCATAAGTGTTTCTCGTTTCTCGTTTTTTATATAGATTAGACCGTTGGTTTTCCTGTTTGAATGGTTTAACACTTGTCAGTTTTTGGGCCCTTAATAGCTTGCTGTTCGGTGTGTGCCAGGGCTCCGTGTTGAAGGCCGTACTTTGACTTATAATGGTTTACTTTTACAAATTGTGACTTGAATGGAGAGTTGTCTGATTGGCACTCATACCACATCTTCTTATATCTAAAATATTGAAAGCAGTATTATTTGTAGCAAATTTGGATTATTTTTCACTTAGAATGAACTCCATATGTACTATTTTTATGCATGTTTGCAAGATCTGATATTTACCTTGGTATGGTACTGCAGACTGGTTCAAATCTTTGACTCGTAGATTTTCACATTCTTTGGCCATATCTGCGGTACCTAACCTCTTGATAGCCTTTGGGAAAAGATTGACAATAATGTATCGTAAACAAAGATTATATATTAAGCTGGAAGTATTGACCAAAAGTTTTTAGATATACTCTTACTGTTCTGGCAATTCTAACTATATAATTTTGGACCTTTATTAATATAATTCTATTTTAACAAAAACCCTCTGCATTAAGGTGTATAAGGCTCCAATTGTATTGACATTAGACAAGAACAAATGTCAAAAATCATTAATGAAATTATTTCAATGCGGTATGAGAGTCCATCTGCAGCAATAAAGACCCAGTGGTGGTAGTGTAAATATATGATGTTAATTTCAATTTGCAAAACTTGTAGTTTCTTGAAACCTCCCTGGAGAAAGCTGTACCTTAACAAATAATCTACATAAATTTTCCTAATAAAACCCAAAATTAGATGCATATCTTTAAAGAATGCTGTAAAATTTGGAGCTTTAGGCTTCTTAGCTCTTTAGATACTAGAACAGTTGTCTGATCTGTTATTTTACGGATTGTGTTCTATTCCCGACTGCAACACTTTGAATATGTGTGTTTTAGATTGGCGGTGGACGCATGCATAATATCAGACGCTTACTATGTCGACACTTCCTATCTTAATCAATTCGAAATTCATAGTATCCCCTCAGGTTGTCTTTATAAATAAGAAGATGTGGTATGAGTGCCAATGAGACAACTATCCATTCAAGTCACAATGTGTAAAAAGTAAACAATTTGCTTACTTAATTTGTCTCATCTCAATTGATTTACAAGATTTGAACATCGGTACACTACTGTTGCCTTTATTTAGCCATGTTCAAAATTCGTAAACCCATTTTGAATATATACGAACAAAGAAATCAAAACATTAAGGAATCAAATGAACTCCAAGCGTAGTAATGTATACATGCATATTATGCACCTAGCAAATCCAGATTCAGTCACAGTTATCACGATAGGGAATTGGACATCGATCAGACGGATATGTTTTATATACATTTTTGTTTTCATTTTATTCACATACACCAATGCATGATGGTGACCTTCAAATGTGTTTAGTGTTCGTTTTAGTCGCTATTTCTGATCAAAAACAATTAAAGAAGCTGAGTATTCATAACATGTACTCTGTTTGGTTGCCCGAAAGCAACCACTCCAACATCCATCATGCAATAAGTCAGCCGAAATGTTAACTGATTTATTTTCAGGAGTACCAGAAGCTAATATTATTATAATGGTATTTATAACATCTGCAGAGTGTCACTTAATATGAAATAATACTAAACTATCATTAATTATTTTAAAATATTTTCATTTAACATGAAGTTTGCTTTTATGAAAATTCAATTGTTTATTTGTATAACCAAACATCATACAGCTGTGCTTGCACATTTCAACTGTGTTTCATTAAACCTACCCAACTTATATCTGTCCATGCTTTAGTAAACTTGTCGTTTTCTATTTTCTTATCGGTAATGTGTGCTAAGTCATTTCTGTAGTGTTTGAGTCTGGCCAAATCTGATACAGGTGAATCCTCTTCATCAAACGGCAGTTGGTCATATCCCCGTTTTGGAGGAGGCAAATCAGTCAGGTTTCTCAGTAACGTTGTTATTAAATTGATGTCAAAGGTCTTGGAGTCTGGGTCGCCTGTACAATGAAATAATGAAAAGTTCATGAAATAATAAAGAATAAATTCATTTGCAAAAAAAAACATAAATTCATAGGAATGAAAAAAGAAACGGAATAGAACTGTTACTTTTTTTAAAGCAAAAACTACTTTCTACAGAATCTTCATTTTAGGAAAATGCAAAACAATTCGATTTAAAGGGCTTGACCGTTAAATCGCGTAATCAGAGGAAGGCAAGACTTGTGACAGTTCATGCACAGTTCAATGTAACGCGCATGTCCTAATTCGATTACACGGCATATCAATTGTAACATCTATAGCACTCCTCATAATATTCTGAATGCACGGTCTGCTAGGAAGTAACTGAATATATCTAAGGTCAGATTGTTGAGTTTGTTTTACGCACAATTAATGTAAATACTTATCTCACGTTAATTTTTCAATTTGCAACATATTATTGATTGATTAATTAAAATCGGTCACATTGATAATTTGTACATTTACTAAAGCAAGGATTGGTATATAGTATACAAATCCTTTACTAAAGTTATTATAATACGAGCGAATTTATTCTAATTTATGTTGGATTGTATGATAAATGTTTGATTCACATAGTTTTTAATTCGATGTTACATTAATATTTTTGTATCTTTATTGAGGTACTAAATAGTGAAAACTGGATTCCAGGTATTTGTATTCAATTTACATTTTGTAATGCAGATTATAATGGTACTGTTCCATTATCAGGTATGTTAACTAATATATTTAATAATGGGGTTGCCTTGTGAGACATTAACACCATCAAATGCAATTAATTATTGTACCATTTATTGTTCTTTAGTGTGTTTCGGACAGCAGTAAATCGTATTTATATTTCAAAGTTGAACCTTCGTTAAAAGAAATAAGTTGATAAAACTTTTGAATTGGCAGCTAGTGTTGTCTTTATAACCGATTGTTTTTCGGTCAGCCAAATAATTTTGCGTTGCATATATATTAATATTTATTTCAAATCATATAATATAATATATATGTTCATTTATATTTCGTAGTAATGTCTTTATAACCGATTGGATTTTTCAGGTTATCCAAATTGCATTGGATATATTTAAATATTTATTTGAAAGTATAAAATGTATATTATTTAATAATATTTGTTCATTTATTGGAAGGTTTACGATGCCTGAGTAGAAAAGGCGTTGAAAGAGGTGTTACAATTGGGGTAAAGAAAACTGCTTTAGCCACCCGAAATGTCAAAATAGCTACGCATCTGAAACAGAAACTGAAAACTTGTTATTCAACAATACATATGCAGGATTATTACATTCATCAGCAGGACCATCTATATGTATGTCAGTCGGAGAAGCGACAGTATGCCTTAAAGTTATCTAAATACATTAAAGAAACAGGTATATTTTTTATTCTTTAATTTTAATGTAGCTAATTCAGTACATGACATTTTTAGCTTTAACAATGATTTGAGTAGTAACATTTCGAGTATAATAAGGAAAACGATTTTAAATGATGAATATTTTATTGATCCGGATTGCTTTTACTATGAAAGACCGTACCACGAATAAGATTAAGATTGATTTATTGGTTCATTATCTATATATTTCATACAGATTAAGATAAACTGAAAAACATTTCAACATTGATTTATTTTATAATCACACTAAGAAGGTATAGTCCAGCAAGTCATTTTATATTCAAAGCAATTTAGTATGTGTGCATATCACGAAGGAATTTTTACAATTTTTTTAATGATATCATTCTCACTACAAGTATACCTAAATTTGATTTTATTTTCATCTGTCATCTTTATAAAAGGAAGAACTATTTCACTAATTTCAGTAACTAATTCTGCCCTATTTGTGCGAAGTATATACATGTATATATAAAAAATGGTATCTCGCAGCTATACAAAAATTCATCACCGGTAAATATCAATGATATCAGCAAGTACACTGATGCATTTTTATATTTGATATTTATCTAAAAACCAATTTGAATAAGGCAAGAGAGCTCGTCCAGTATATGAGCAAATAAGACCCAGTGGAGCTAGCAGGGTTCAGGTCATAAGTTGGAATCGAACAGTTTCGGTTTACAAAGAAAACAATTTCACAGTCTTGTAATCGGGGGCCAGTCGATTTAGATCTATGTCTATTGTTCATGTACCATGATCACAACAAATCATTCATACCCTGTTTGTATTATGTATAAATAATGTCAAAACTATTGCTCTTGCACTAGGATAAACCGTCATTACTCACACAGCTTTTTTTGCACACATTTTAATCGTGCTCAGAAAAATAAAATGCTACATGTAATGGACAAGATAATCAAATGTTGATTTCCAAGATATCTAACTATCAAACATTTACATAAGCTGAAAATATTATTGCCATCTGTTTGTAGTTCAAGTAACGCATCTTTATTGTTTTTTTTGGGGTTTGTTTAGTCTAGCTTTTTTGTATTTTTCATATAGTGGAACTAGTAGCTATCAATCCACTTGCGCATTATTAACTTTAAAGTTCAAATGATATTAGTTTTCCAGAAAACAATGTTTCCATTAGTCTCAAATTTTAGAAAAATGATCAGCAAGACAAGAGTTTTACTACTATACTTAGAAAAGGTTACCTGTGGTTGATGTCTGTCATATTTGTTTTTCGTAAACTGTTTCGTTTTTAATTTGGCCGTTAGTTTTCTAATTTGAATTGTTTTATATTTTTCATGTCGGGGCCTCTTATAGCCGACTATACGATATGGGTTTTTCTCATGGTTGAAGGCCGTATGGTTGCATATAATTGATTACATTCACATCATTTGAACTTTAATGGATAGTTGTCTCACTGGCAATCATACCACATCTCCTTAATATTATATTAGAGAATTTAAGTTAAGTTGTTTTTGTTAGAAAATTTATAATCTTTTAATTAGCATTAATAACGAATAAAGAAGAAATAGTATACACTATCCTAAATTGCAAGTTAGGTTTACAAACTTTATTCAAATCAAATCAAACTTTTATTGCCATATAAACCAACTTATACGATTTGTGACAAAAACAACATTAACTTTATGACAAGAAAAAAGCATGTATAATCATATTAAACAAACTAATGAAAATAGTTCAAAATTCAATTATGAGTCCCCTATCCTTAGTGCCAATGACTTTTTAATAAAGGAACCTATGCTTTCTACCTGTTTTTGTGTTGATGGGCAAAGAATATTTATCATTTTTTCATTTTCATTGAGGCTATCAAAATTTTCTATACTTTTAGCCTTTGAAAATTTTTCAATAAAAACTGGTCTAATGGAAGCGTTTTTCCTGCAATACAAAAGAAAATGTTTTTCATCCTCAATTGTATTGCAGAACTGACACAACCTGTTTTCCCTAGGGATTTTTAGGTGTCTCCCTTTTTCTATTAATAAATTATGATCACTTAATCTTAATTTAGTGATATTACGTCTATTTTCAAATATATTAGAGTTCAGATATGTTTCTATTTTATTACTTTGTTTTAATGTTTTATATAATAGAAGTTTACTGCTATTATCTATTTTCTCAAATTTATGTTTATATAATTTTTCATAATGATTAAGGAGTTTAACTTTTAATTCAGTTTTAAGTGTTTTTATTTGGTTTAGATTCTTACACTCCTCAATATGTTTAAAATCTACATTTGCTTCCTTTGCAATGTTTTTTATATACGTAAACCATGTGTAACATCCTGCTGAGTCTAGATTCTTTGATAGAGTGAAAGCCTCATATAATAAGGGATTTATACAATTATTTAGAAGTCTTGTTAAATATAGTAAACTTTGGACCTTTATTTTTAATTCTAATGGATAGCGACTTAATTCTTTTCTAACTGCTAAATTTGATGCATTTTTTCGTGTTCCCAAAATATATTTACAAAATGATAAATGACGTTTTTCAAAACAAGTTTTATCAGTAAAATCAAGAAAGTCAATTTCTTTATGGGATACATTTGCCCTCTGGACAGCTCTATATAATGTTATATATGTATCCATAAAAGTAACCTCTGAATTATATGTAGCAATTGGTTCCACCATAGTATTAAACAAACTACATGCTACTTTAATAGGGATATTATTTAAAGAACCAGTATAGGATTTAATAGCAAACATTACCATTTTCGCCTTTTTTACTAGTTCTTCAGAGCTATGATTAAAATTGCCATTACATTTAATAAGAATACCTAAAAATTTTTATTCTGAAACATTTATCAAATTTATATCTTTATATTTAACAATAGATTGTTCTAATTTAATGTTTTTGTTTTGCAAAATCATAGTTTTAGTTTTGTTAACATTTAGTGTAAGTTGCCAGGTGTCACAATATTCTTCTAAATTATTTAAGCTATTTTGCAAACCTTGTTTATTTTCTGAAAGTATAAGTAGATCATCTGCAAACATAAGACAATTTACCTCAGAAGAAACTAATTTTAAAGGATAATTATCATTTTTTGAGAGTTCACTTTCAATATCATTTATAAAAAGATTAAACAAAGAGGGGCTTAAAGAATCTCCTTGTTTCACCCCTCTTGATATTTCAAAAAAGTCTGAGTGCTGATTCTGCACTTTGATAGACGATTTAGTGTTAATATATTGTTGTTTAATAATATTATAAAATTTTTTACCAACTCCATTGATAAAATTTCGTCTAAAAATTGTTACAACCTCAGCGAGTTAATTGTCTGGGTTGATGGTTTTCTTAAATCTTATTTATATCATTACAGAGGTCAAGACAAGTTTTAATAGTAGTCTGCATTATAGTTAATTGATAAATTGATTGTATTGCTTTTGTGATTTAGATTTAATAGTAGCGTATATCTCAGACTGTAAAACTGCTAATTAATACGATTTTGTTATCTGAAAGAGAAACAACGAAATTGGGTTAAATACTGTGAACTGTTATACACGGAATATTATGTATATACGTATTTGACTTGAGAAAAATAGAAAGCTGAAGGCGGCAAATATTCCATCGGCTAATTGTTTTGGGGGGTCTTAACTGCACCTCACTTTAAAAAGTTTTTGTCTGGGCAACATGATCATTTACTAGATTTAATTTGCTCTGAACTAGCTTTCAGTAACTGCGAATACTCTTAGATGGGTACTTGGTGTCTTTAGTCTATTTGTTAGTTGTTCATTGTGCTTCGTGTCGATCTGATGAGTTAAACCTACCTCAACTTTGTTTTATGTTGTGTTGTTAACCACTGTCCCCGGTTATGGGAGGACTTAGTTCTCACAAACTTGTTGTTTGTCGCAGTCTTTTATACTTGTTTTACATTTAACTCGATTTATACTTAAATATGGCCTCGTTTTCTTGTTTGGATTGTTGCCGGGCCTTTTATTGCTATTATACTGTATTTACTATGTTCAATGATGAAGGCTGTACGGTGGCCTATAGATGTTTACGACCACGACATTAAGTTTTAGGCGAATAGTTGACTCATTGACATTCATATCAGATCTTCTTGTTTTTATATTTTCTGATGGTAAAAGTCAAATTCAGTCATTGGTAATATAAAAAGTATTAATCATACATCAGATTACCAACAGAACAGTTGGCAAGTCAAATATCTTTATCTGTTATGCTATCAATTTTAATTATTTGTCTATATTGTAAATTATCAATCTGGAACTGATTATTGATTGATTGTCAATTTTAAGATCTTTCATGTTTTCAAAAGCGTGATATGATACTGGTATTTTCAATCACAAAACATGACTTCGTTCGTGCTCGGAAGTTTGTAGTTGCTTATGCTTGTGTTCTCTTATACATTTTTGTATTTCAATTTGTTAGCAAGGTGAAAGTGATTTGATTTTGATTTTTGGTGTTTTAACGCCACTTTTAAGCACCGCTTTTGGGCTATTTCGTGGCGGCCAGTTTTTATTGGTGGAGGAAGCCGGAGTGCCCGGAGAAAACCACCGACCTTCGATAGGAAAACTGACAATCCTAGTCAATTAAGATTGGAGTCGAGTGCACCCGCACGAGCGGGGTTCGAACTCACAACCTCAGTGTTGACTGGCTAGTGATTAAATAGTAACTACTTAGACCACTCGGCCACCGAGGCCCCGCAAGGTGAAAGTGTTATGAGGTACTTTAATTAAAGAGATAAACTAATCGTATGCTCATTCTCGAAGAACCCCGCAATGTTAACTAATCCACTAAAATGGACATGACATCGGACTAAGCGTTCTATACGATAGGACTTAACTTAAGCGGTATTGATTTTCTCCAAGATTTGTTACCTTAGTCAAATTTGCTTGGTACCAATGTTACCAAGATTGCAATACAAAAACAAGATTCCAAATAAGTGATTGAACAAAACTACAGTGAGAAGCAATAGTTTATTTGTCAGATATTGAAATTTATCTTATTTAATACAAGACTTAGTTACAATTTTAGTTATGCTTTTATCAATTTTCACCATTTATTATCCAGTTATGCTGTTATCATCCATTTATTGTCCATCAAATGGCGGAGTAGGTCATTGGCTTCGGGAATCTGTTAGCTAGTAAATACTGCGGTCAGATTCTTGTTGTTACAGAATATTACAATCCGAGTTATAACTACTCTCAATTTATGGTACTTGTTGGCGGTAACAAGTTCCAAAACATTCTTTATGAAATGAATGTTTTTGAACTTGTTTAGTGGCGGACTTTATAGGCTGCACAAGTACCGATGAACTTGATTTATCACTATATTATTATTTAATTTAGAACATTAATCCATGTAATCTTCATTTCCACCTCAAACGTAGTTTCTCATGTTGATTTTGGACATCTGTTGCCAGGGTTCAGTTCAGCACCCCATTATTTCAAAATTTCATTTCATTTTAGTTTTTAGTTGAATTTTGAATTTTATTTATCTATTTTATTTTAATGATTTGATTTGCATTTTGAATTAGCATCTAATTTACGGTTGCCCAAAGACCCTTTATTTATGGGTTGGTAACCGACAGAAGCCATGATCTTACTTCGCCAATAAATATATTTTGACTTTAATAACGTCTTCTCTCTTATAATTCGATTTAAAGGGCTGGACCGTTAAATCGCGTTATCAGAGGAAGGCAAGACTTGTGACAGTTCATGCATAGTTCAATGTAACGCGCATGTCCTAATTCGATTACACGGCATATCAATTGTAAAAGCTATAGCACTCCTCATAATATTCTGAATGCACGGTCTGCTAGGAAGTAACTGAATATATCTAAGGTCAGATTGTTCAGTTTGTTGTACGCACAATTAATGTAAACCCACCCATCCCTCCTCTTTTAGTTTATCGATACTGCTGACAGAAGCCATGATCTTACTTCGCCAATAAAATATATTTTGACTTTAATAACGTCTTCTCACTTATAATGGGTGTATCTAGATATTGGCGTTCGTTATAATGTCGTGCAATTAAGATATTGATATTAGTGCTATTCATTTCATGGCAAAGAAAAAAGTATAATCTATGTATTCAAGGTAAATAACTACATGCCCTATATAAGTCTAAATTGCTTACCTGTGAAAAATAAACTCGTATTGATAATTACATTAATATATGAGTAATAGAAAATAATATAACATCTTCCTAGCCCCTCCCACAATCCTGTTTACTTTTACAACTGATGTATATCTATTATTATTGTCAAGATAATAAGTAAAAAACTGAAACATTTGTTGCGAAATGGTAAAAACATGAAGGGCATTAACTCCCAGAATGAGTCGATTGAAAGTTTTATCATTTTAGCATATTTGTAGATCATATACTGCAGATGAGTTTTGTTATTAAGAGTTTCCGTCTATCTATTATGGCTTTCAATACAAAATGCAGCAATTCTACTGTGTCAAAAATCCTCTTTCAGAGGAAATAACTCTCAATGAATTTTTTGCAGTCATATATACATTTATTTACATCTATACCAATTATAAATATATATATATATATATAATTTATTTATTGTATACATGTATCGTTACTCGTAACGATCCAGCGCCCTCGTGGGAAAAATCGTTGACTATTATTCAGACGTTTTATATATATATATATACAAGTCTAAATTGAAAACAACGTTCAAACCTATGATTGCGTTGGATAAAAACCGCAATTTTTATACGTGTGCATGCAAAACAAATTTCTTGGTAGAGGGGTCTAAAAACAGCACAAACAACATTTTACAAAAGACCAAAAAAAGTGAAAAAGTACATTTTAACAAAACGAATTTGACTAGCAGGTCGAACAACTGATGTTCTTAAATCCTACCGACTGCCATTGGCGATTGCCAAATAAACGGATCACAAGATTTTACAAAATGAATCTTATTAATTTATTACCAAACAGAAAACAATAAACTTGCGGAAAAGATGGTATACCGCAAACATGAGGTGCAAAAATTAGTACAAATATCCGGATTTCGACAATTAATGTCTCTTCAGTGATGTTAGGAATCGAAACGGTATTTGGAAGGCCATATAATTTACCTCAATTTAGGATAGACTCTTGAATTTTGAAAGAGTCGAAATAGGATGAACGGATCATATAATCCAAAAGGCAAATATAATACAAGCCCAAACGAAAAAATATAAACAAGTCTAAATTGAAAACAACGTTCAAACCTATGATATATATATATATATATATATATATATATATATAGAGAGAGAGAGAGAGAGAGAGAGAGAGAGAGAGAGAGAGAGAGAGAGAGATTTTAAAGTTTCTACCTTTTCGGGGATATAGTAGATTCCACTGTTTTTGGTTTATAATCCGCTTTGCTTTCAGATCAGTCAACTTGTTTCTCTCTTTGTTGATAGATTTACTTAAAAAGACTGGATCAAATTCTTTATCAAAGAATAAGCGTGCTGCACGTTGCGATACCCCAGTGATGAGTAGGTCTAGCCTGATGTAGTTGTCCTCTTCTTGTGTAATTATATTATGCGTCATTGTGTTTTATGTCTATATATTTGACATCTGATATAGCTTGATCAATTTTTATGGAGTTTTCGTTGCTAATGTTATTCCAGTATTTACTGTAAATATATGATTTGTTTTGTTAATAAATGAAAACTTTAAACTTTCCTTTGTATAAGAAATAATTCATGCAAGCCATAAATTTGTTGAAATTTTTCAAATGAAATTCGAAATTTATCCCGAGCTTTACTACAAATACATATTCAGTGTCTGTACGAACAAATTTTATTATTTTTTTCCAGATTATCTCTTTTCAACCCCTATCTTAATTGTGTACTTCATATACAAAAACAAATTTTTCTGATCAAATTTCTATTCTAATTCTAAATTCTCAATTACAAAACAGTATATGCAATATAAGAGGGTGGTAAAGGAGGGTGCTTGAACGGAAAACACGTGAAATACAAATGTAAGACATAATTTCACGTTAAACGTGAAATAATTTCTGTCATGAACGTTGCACGAAAAATAAAGACTGTTGTGAACCTTTTGTGACTGATTCACTGTCTTCTTGTATATATTAACTCTCTGTTTTACTTGTTATTCCCGATTTAGTATACACATTTATGATGTAAATGGTTTACGGTTTTTAAACAAGTATTTCTTGACGATCCCTGCCAAGTATTTGAATTTTATTTGAAAAATACCGAGCACGCAAAATAAGCATTTGAAAATCACGATGCACGTAAAATTAAATAAGCAGAACACGATGAACGAGGCACCTGTTTTGCACGACTGAACGTTAAATAAAAAAGTAAAAACATGTTAAACGTGAAATAAAAAACGGCGATCACGTTGCACGAAAATAACCCTTTACCGCCCTCATACAATATGCAAGAAACTATGCAAAGAACAATAACTCTATGAAAACCCACTGACCAAGCCAATCTACATTCTAACATAAGGCATGAGTAGTGGCATAACTCAATGTATGTGTATAATCGTTCTTGATTAATATATTCAAAGTAATAGTGTTAAGAATATTCCCCAGTAGCTGCAAGCATTTGTTATACATTAATTTATTGTAATTATACTTGTGGGGTTTGTTATTGTTGTTGTTGTCTTTTATACACAAACACTTATTAGTAACAAACAGCCATAATATGTTATGGTCAACTTTACCTATGTACTATTTCATAATTAACCCTTAGTTACTCGTATGCATTAATACTGTCAAAACACCAGCGTCACTATCGACCAAAGGTATGTGATATGAACGTATTCCACGTGTTTCTGGAATGTTGCATATATTGTAGTTTCGGATGTCAAAGTAATCACACATTTATGAGACAGGGCCTGTACATAATAACCTTAATCGTCTTTGTCCCACTGCTTTGTGTGTTACCATTAAATATTGATACTAGAACTGCAAATAATATATAATAAATAAAACGTGGGATTTCTAAAATATGAATGGACGTTTCTAGAAAATGAACACTTTGTTTTAGAATCAACTTTCTTTTTCGATTATACAAATCAAAGTTGTCACAAACGAATGCGTTAATTGTCAGAATTTAAGTATTTCAAAAAGATATGTTTTAGATACCCATTAAACTTACCATTGATATGGTTGATATTCAACACAATTATGTGTAACTATAAATATCACAGACACGTAAAAATCAATGTACACAAGAACACGCATATATGTTATCTATTTCAGCATACGAGAGTTCATTGTGCGTTGTACACATTTTTGTGTAAAAAAACAATCAAATCAGGGAAACAAAATGTCTTAAGTAAAAGTTTAAGTTTTCAATCTTTGAATTCAAAACTACCAGAAAATAGTTTTTCGGTGCAATACAAGTACATTGACAGAATAGGTGAATATGTACATCATTTTACTAGTATGTTACGATGAGTCGTATCTTTATTTTATTTAGTTCCTGTGGATATTTTTTTTCTTCTTCTTTTAACACTAACGTTATGCTTTATCATATTCACCGTTATCAATTGGTAAGAAAAAAGAAAAAAAATAATAATAAAATATCGCTACAAGGTGCAGAAAGGCGAAAATTAGTTCTTTTTACTCATAAAATTGATGAAATAATTCACCTTACCGTTGTTACATTTATCTTTTTAATCCTAGTTGATGAAATCAGAACAGTATGTACTGGCTCGTCATTATCGCGTGATACGGTTTTGACACGCCTACTGATCGGTGGAATATGCATGACTTAGTCATGTTAATAGATGCACGTCTAGCCGAAACTGAGAGTTGTAGATCTGTAGCGTAAATGTAAATATTTTGTAGTTTTGAGAATAGAAAATAACAGAAACATCGCTTTTAATTATTATTAGTCAAACGAGTAATACACGGATCTATTATGATGGAGGACCTACGTTAAATATTGATATAGTGACTTTAATTTTAAATTGTTTCCATGAACAGTATGGTGTCTTCCTGCTATTCCTACATTTTAAAAGTACATGCTCATTCTATTCCTCAGTACAAACAAAGTACAATAGCTGTTGTTATAAGGTAATTTGTTGTCTTTGCTATTTAGATTTAATTTTCTTTGTTTATGTGGACTGAATTTATGATAAATTATAATATCAAAACTTATTATATTGTCTAGTAATTTTTATATTTTTCCTCTCATGTATAGGATACTATTTTTGTATGAGACTAAGTGCTAAAAGATTAGTTTGTTGCTAAAATACTGCCTACATTATTGTGTTAGTAAAGTATATCTATGGGACTTTGTTTCAAATTCTATCAATAGCAAAAATCTTCATTATACGAGGTACTAAACACAAAAGTTCGAAAATTAAAATAAAACAGATAAAGATAAGGATACAGGACAATTTCAATGGACGAGAACATGCATTTGTTAGAACTTTTTTTGAAACAATTTATACTATTAATATTTTCAAATTGGACATTGATAAAAACTCTAGAGGTTTTATGGATATTTGCCTGAAGTTATTTGGCTTTATGTTTTTTACAACCTATTCTGATTTAACCCCTTGTTTATTTAACTATTCCTCCTATTCGTACATGGATTTTTCTGGCATAGGACGTTTGCACTTTGTTACCTGTAATACGATAGGACATTTATGGACATATGCGCTTTAAATTTTGATACACCTGTATTAAATTGACCGGACATTTGCGCTTTTTACCTATAGTCGTCTACCTGTAATTTTAATGAGTTTTAATCATTACGTAAATAAATTCAACTTAAATTTGTGGTTATTAAGTTCACAATGCACAGTCTTAAATATCGAGTTTAAAGTTATAGACTAGTAAAAAAAATGTATATTTCACGATGAATTCTTATCATTGAACAACAGTCGGTTAATTACAATTCGTTATATTGATGAACAGGGACCTCAGTCAAGAATTGAGAAAGAGAAACTAGAATATTTTTTGAAATGTGGGCGAAATACCAGCCAGGACAGATTACAAGAGCTAAATTTGTTCATTCCCTGAGCTTCAGATATCAAGCGTAAACTGACCTGTGATGACTATACATTGTACGTGTCTTTGTGTCGTTAGAATGTTTACTTTTAGCTATATATAACTATATTAATGTGGTATGAAATGACTTTTAAACACGAATGTGCTATGAATGGACTATTAAACTTTTAACCATAATGGAAATTATTACTTTATCTCTGCCACGTCAAACCTACTATCATAAGCCAGGATAAAATAGGAGGGAAGTCATAAGTAGCAAATATAGTAAAAGCGCAATTGTCCTATATAAAAAGCGCAAATGTCCATTAAAAAAGCGCAAATGTCCTATGAAAAAGCGCAAACGTCCCGCGCCGGATTTTTACGAATGTCATACCAGATTTTAAAATGTAGGAATAGGAGGAATAAACCAAATAATATACGCAAACAATTGTTGAAAATTGACGAACCTCTATCAAGGTGTAAAAAATCGGGAGCTACTACAAAATTAGTGCTTTATTTTCTGACGCAAATCTTTTATATGATTATAATAACATAACACTTTTTGTTTGATTAGGTACAAATGATTTAACTAAAAAGAAAAAATGAAAAGTGAAGGAAATGGCAGTGCAAATGGTATTCATTCGATTTACAAAGAAATTCCCGGTTTTCTTCGTAAATTCGAAAAGGTTAAACTTGTTAATATAGAGGTACCGTAACGGTATATTTTATTTATTGGTGGAATTTTTTTCATAATCGTCCAAACCCTAAACAATTTCGTTAAGATGGTGTTTGTCTGCATACTCAAATAGAGCTATCGAAAGTATTGTACTCGTGACATTAATCGTATTATTCATGTACATTCTACAGGTTTTTCGAATGATTTAGTGAAAACACGGAAACAAGGAAAATGCAACCATATTTTTTCTAGTTCTACTTTTACTCGATTACATGTTGGTATTCACCCGCGTCCAGAACGGTCAAGATTGTAAGTGTTAAAGTTTGTTTTTTATTTGACATGTACTGTATTTACTCATAGTTATTCGTCCTGATAGTTCTGTCTAATAAGGGACGTTTCAAAACAAAAAAGTAAATTCAAAACGGAAAGTCCTTTATCAAATGGAAAAATCAAAAGCTCAAACACATCAAACGAATGAATGGAAAACAACTGTCATATTCCTGACTTGGTACAGGAATTTCCCTATGTAGAAAATGGTGGATTAAATCTGGTTTTATAGCTAGCTTAACCTCTCTCTTGTATGACAGTCGCATACAATTCCATTATATTGACAACAATGTGTGAGCAAAACAAAACGACATCATAGGTAAAAATGTGAAAAGACACAACACTAGCTACCTGTTATTACGTTTATTATTTTATGGTATTTCTCTGCATAATAACTGTATGTCCAATTCCGGTTTTGTATGTGGGAAAGGAGTAGGGGCAATAAGGCCCTTATTTTGCCCAAATATTACTGCAAATTTAAAAGTTATATTATATTCTGAACTTTGTCATAACTAGACTAAGGTACCAGGTATTCAGAAAATAAAAACAAATTTCAGGTTTAACGAGTTACCATGGCAACAAACCATGACGAAATTTGTATAGTTTGTAAAATTTCTTGATTTTCCTTGTTTTTCGTCAAATTTTAAGTATATAATAGATTGGCAAAGTATGTGCGCACACAAGAAACAACTTTATATTTGGTGAGATTATGTCAATAGTTATAATTAAGCTTCTCTTAAATTATTTTGTTGTTTCTTGGCTGCTCACGATGTTTCTGCAATGGAAATAAAGATGGAAACTGCATAAATTCTGTATTTTTCATCGTTTTCATGAAAACGGTACATATTATGACGTAATTGTGACGTCATCAAATAAAAATTCTTATGTTTTTCATTTATATTTCCTGATTCTATGTATTTCCAAACAATATGTGCAAATTTGAAATAGTTGTCAAATATTTTATTTTCTTGGGCCAAAACCGGGCTTTAATGCCCCTACTCCTTTGCGCTTCAAAATGAAAGAGGTTAACAACTTTTAATGAATGTGAACATTGTTACGCTCCAATTTGATCTGTAATTGCTATTAGAAGTCCAATGACTGATTTTTCTTCCGCTGAACTTAATAACAACTCTGAATCAACGTGTTTGTATCCAAAAGAAGATGATTTTGATAATACTATTTTACGTCAAGATTTTATAGCTTACACGAATTTAAGGTAAACACTTTTCTCTCTATCATCAACACAATAAAGTTCTACGCTCAAATTTCAATCTACAAAAGAGATTGGCCACGAAGCTCCGATATTGGCCCTGTGAGATGACAAAAAAAAAGGAGTAAGGTGGATCTTTTATAGCAAAAACATATCTACGTATATCGTTTTTTGTTATAATAGTATAAAATTATATTTTTATGACGGATAAATGTGACGTATTACCAGGAATCAAACCAGAAGGCTCGAAATATCAAAATTCTTAAAGAATTTCACACTTCCTGGTTGAATTTCACATTAGCGACAGGCCTCGACCAAAGTAATTGATTGTTTAACACTTTGACTTAGTTTGCAACAATATTTAGTGTGGTCGAGGCCTGTGGCCACATCGAAAAATTAACTTTTGATAACAAGAAAATCCTGATTCAACGCCGTCATTTCCGAAGTATAATAGATTCTGTGACTTTACCTAGAACCTGGGACTCTTATATTATGTCCCAGCAAGAACTATACAATTGCTATAAAAAGAAATAAATTTTATAATTATTTTTATCTTTTTATTTCTAATGTATTTTTTTATAATCATATTTTCTGTTGGTATTAGAATATTTGCCTTGAAAGCAGTTTTGCCACGTCACTCCGCATATCGTAATTTTCTTTTTCCTGACATAATAATACTGTAGACCATTATGTGAATCTCTTTTTGCAACTAAAGTATGATTTCTTGAACTTGGAATATTAAGTCAAAATTAATTTACAGATAAACAAACAAAAAAGTAGAAAATGGAATAACAAGTCTTTGTATTTTGCGTAGCTTCGACGGAGGTTTCTAAAAACGAATAGATACGTCCTTACAACAGTTTTCATAAGGAAAACAAGACAAATTGGTGGAAATAAAAATTATTTTGAATTTGCAATTTATTTCAGAGTTCATTGCACCGTTATTTTGTAATAAGTGTGGTAAAATGGTGCATTTGATCCATTTTTTCTTGACGATCCCAGCTGCCAACTGTTTGAATTTTATTTGATAAATACCGAGCACGCAAAAAAATC